ATTACTAAAAGCTGATTTTACGAATGATATGAAAACCGCTAAAACAATTAGTGTGGGAAATTGATGTGGGGTCACAAGCTGGAAACAACTGTGTCAGGTACAAAAGACAGGGATTTCAGTATGGAAAATCAGAAATCGTCAAATTTGCTCTTTGTATTTTCCATTTTTCTTTTTGTTCCGGCCGCCAGTGTTGTCAGAACTTCGGCTTCAAAATCAGCAAACTGCGTGGAAGTCAATGCATGTTCTGCAAATTTTGGATTTATCCACCAAACATTGGGCTTTTTAAACAACTTTTGTTCACTAACAAGTGAGGGCGGTGTAATTCAACAAAAAACATAAATTTAAGAAAAAACACTGAACCAGAAGATGCTTTCGAATTGGACAATGGATTCTTTACGAATAGCGGAGGTCCTCGAATACGTTTAACGGAGACTGGACGCTCAGGGTTACCGCTTTCTTTTAAAATCCCTTCCTGAAATATGCAAATCCAAGTGGTTCTAACACTTCAGGAATGAGAATGTTAGATTGATTGCTCGAAATCTTTTACTGAATCATCATTTTTACTACACGTATTCATAAGAGACGAACAATCTTTACCTCATCCATCAGTTTACTGAATTCAATAATCGCAGAGCCTCTGTCACCACTTGATAAAACAACGTTCGAAATGTCTCCGTACTGAATTATTATTTTATATTTGTAAATGGAAATGCAGACAGAATCAAGTAAACCTCTCGATTTAACGCTCTATCGTTTCTTGCTATACTTCAGTTAAAAAACACTGCGATTTACTCGATTTATAACAATCTACACGATCTCTTAGCTGAATTCAGCACCCTTTCATACATCATTAGCTTTCCTGTCAACAGATTCAAAGAGACAATAATAGAATGACAACTCTGACCTAATCATAAATGACATGAGGGCCTACTTCATTTCCACATTTGTAATTCGTCAGAAATTCAGGAATTGAGAACTGCTTCATCAACGGGGATTTAGAACTGTTTTAACAAACTCGGGGAGGGGGGAGGGGGAACGCAAACAAAGCATTCACTTTAACAATAACTGTCCCAATTAGCTTAAATTGGAGAATAAGCAGACATACCTTAGAAAATAACTGGCGGATATCTTCTTCATAATAACCACTTATACCAACTCCTCGTTTCCACCGCAGTTTATATCGAGTAAATGGCGCTGTAAAAATTATCACGTTTGCACATAAAAGCCAATAAGAATTATAAAAGACGATAGTGGAATGCACATACTCTCACTACTGCAGCTTTGCTTCACTGCAGTGTCTCCATGGATTTCTCGCTCTACATTTTCCCTCTCACGCTGCAGTAATTTAGAGCCTTCTCTTCGCAGACGCTCAATCTAAAACATGCAAAAAACAAAATCAAATTGCAAAATTTGTCCTCTTAAAATCTCAAAAGCTACGTTTTCCTAATTTTCGACTGGGAAAGGGAAAATCCAAAAAAAGCCTCAAATGCAATGAAAAAGAATCACAAACTTCTTTCTCTAATTGCTTATTGGCATCCTCCTCTTTCTTCCGTGTACTAGCAGCGTCAGCTTCTCGCCTTTCCAGCTCTTCGCGCAATTTTCGACGTTTCTCGCTCCCCTCTTGTTGCCTTCGTTGGATGTAGACCTTACGCGCTGTCTTAGCTGCCAGAACATGATCGTACGCAGCCCGTGCTGTCACATCCGATAATAACGCGAATGCCTTCGATATTTTCAGGAACATATCTTGTGCTAAAATCGCAAAACGTCTTCCTCCAGATATTAGAAGAAAAAAACTTATCAGCGTACTGGTGAAGCCCTCTCCTTAGACAAATTGTCTTGTAAAAAAATCATTCTCCCTTTTTCTTTTAAAAACGTGAAGGCCGCAAGAACTGCCGCCGTAAAAATTTCATTTTATTGATATGTACTAATAGGCTGGATAGAGCTCTTATCTCATTTTGCTTGAGCTGCATACGTCTAGTTTCATAATTCCTGTCTGCACTATTTAATGCATCATCTCTTCTAAAGTCCTCGGATACAATCATTTTGTCTTCAGGGTACCACACACTAATACTCGATGTCCATTTTTCACATCAATAATGAAATCACAAGTAAAGAAAAGTGGTACCGGCTTGTGTTCGATTTGGATTTTTGTCGGGATGCCATTTTAGTGCTGCTCGCCGGAACGCTTTCACAATTTGTGCATCAGTGCAGCCCTGTTGCAAATCCAATATTTCATACGGATCGAAATCCAACAAAGGCTTTTCTGATGCCATCGCCTTCTTCGCATTCGCCACATCCAAAATTTCTAGTAATTTAACATAATGAAGCCAAGTTGACTGGCATAGCACAGCAGCAAGTAACGCTGCTCCCACACTGAAGGTCGAAGTTACGGCTGTGTTAGCGCGATAGCCAATCTCTTGGGAATTCGCATAGTTATCCCGATAAAAAAACTGGTACTGATGTAAAACAATCAGACAAAAATCTTTACCGGCTTTCTTAGCAACTTTGGGAAAAAGAAGTCGATACCATTCCCGCTGTCTCAGAGTATTTTTGCTATTCACAGAGATTGAGGCATGGGGAGCGGGGAGGAGGCTTGGCAGGAAAGAGAGAGAGGGAACGGGGAGAAGGCGGGAAGGAGGGAGGGGAGGAAGAGAGAGAAGGAAGAAGAAACGGCGACGACCCTTTATTCACGCAAATTTGCTCATCCAATTAGCTTGTCCCCTCTGGATAAATTTGCTCATGGAAGCCGCTTTTCCACTCTTTCC